CCCCTCTCCCCTCCCTCACCAGCCGACCGGATGGCGCGGCAAAAACGCACCCTCACCAGCGACAACGCACGCAAATGTGGTCGGCTGGCACAGCGGACCAGCGGCTGGTCTGAGCGTGCTTCGCCAGGACCAACCCCGGTCATGTTTCAGTCCCGGTACGTGGAGGTCCTAGTCTGCTGTCGTTCCCGGCCCTGGTCCCGATGGGTCCCGTCTCGGTGCCTGTCCTGGCTCTGGTGTCGTCCTGTTCCGGTTCCGGCGCGGCCCGCGCTGGTCCCCGCCCTGTCCGGCCCTGCCGCGGCCCGTCCGTAACACCGCACCGCCTGGTTCGCAGGCGAGCGGACGCCATGCTGGTGGACAAGAAGCGGGCCTCGCGGCCCTCCTCCATGGTCTTCGCCAACTACGGCCAGCTGAGGACGCACGACGACCTGCAGTCGGCCGGCTCGCCGACCTCCGCGCCGCGCGACAATCGTGAGGTGGGTCCCGCCTCGATGTTTCCGTCTGGATTCCTCGATGTCTCCGTCTGTATACCTCCGCCTCGATAGCTTCTGTCTCGAGACAAGGCGAGACCCTCCCCCGCCCCCTCTCTGCACTGGGTAGCATATCGCGCTATCATGGTTTGGACTAGATAGGAGTGTTTGCCCGGTGCGTTACAACTCGTGAGTCACACGCAAGATTTATCATGTTTGCTGAGCTGTCGGTAATATACGTTGTTTACTGGGAATTATACAGGACATCGCTCTGTTGAGGATAGATCGTATTCCTGTCAGAGGCGTGGGGCGTAGTCATAAACATTCCATGAGTCGAGCAGAGCGGCACACGGTCAATACTGCCCCAGGTGTTGTGTCAGCCCAGCTGGCATGGGCCCGGCCCGGTTCTGTCTCTCGCCTCCCGTCCCCCGGCACCGAGCACGCCGCCGCTCGCCGTCACCGTCCGTCCCCCGGTGGTGACGGGACGGGCTCACCAGGTGGGTGGCGGCCGCGGAGCGCCGCAGCTCAGCGGAGCCGCCCCCGCTCCTGCCTCCTCTGTGGGTTACGAGGCAGCCGCGTGCCGGCCGCGGCGCCGGGCGGATTACACGCTCGTGCCGCCGTCCCGGGCTGTTGACACCGCTCCGACACTGCAGGGGCTGACCAAGCGCGCCGCCGGTCCGGAGACAGGATTAGCGGAAGTTACGGGAAATGGAATTAGTCTCGGGGACGGGCCGGTGGTAGAGTTTTATCGTCTTAAAACATACCATGCCTTGAATACATGTACGGAGCAACTATTCGGGGAGTTTTACCATCTTAGATTCTTTGACGAGGTAAACCGTCTTAGAGCTTTGTAAGGGCTGTACGTCTTAAAACAAAAAGGAAAAAAACATTAAATTCAAAGGAAGAATAACGATTGGGAAGGGAGGGTGGCATATGTGGCTTCCCGTGAAAGAAACGCTCCGCGCCCCGACAGCGGTTTTTGTAACAGACTTCGTACGTTTAATCAAGAGGCGACCCTGAACGAATCGTGAAGTCTCATTTGAGGTTGACAGCTGGCGACGGAAGGCTGGCAGCGCGGCAGAAGGAGGCTCCCCTCCATTACCCACTTGAGCGCGTTAGACGCCGCCTGCTGAACACGCTCCCAGCTGCCGGGGCGCTCCGTGCACTCTAGACAGCCAGATAGACGGCGACGGGTCGGCTGCGCCGCGGCGGCGCCCACGCCTCTTCCCCGGGCCGTTCCACCCGGTCCGGCCCCCTCGGGACCGCCCGACTGACGCGCTGGGGCCGCCGCCGGCACTTGACCGCCCGGCGGGGTCACGCTGCCGGCAGCCGGCCGCCGCCGGCAGCTGGCGGGCCGCGCGATAAGGGCCTGCCGCGGCAGCTCGCCGCTCTCGACCCGTCCTGAACAAACACGTCGCCGGCCGGCCGCTTTGTCTCGCCGGCCCGCTGGCCGTGTCGGGGGCGGAATGTGGCCACGCGGCGGCCGTTTGGACAAGAACCGCCGCTGGGTGGTGTACTGACGCCGCGCCGGCTGTGGGGTGCGGGACCGCCGCGGGCCCGTCCACATCCCGCACCCCCCCCGGAGCCGCTCCGACGTCAGGCCGGCCGGCGGCGGGCCAGCGGGGCTCGCGCTCGGTGGGAGCGACACCCGCGGCGGTGAGCGCGTCGGGCTGGGGGAGCCCGTCACAACCGAGCTGGAATGGAGGGCGGTGCCGGGCTGCGAGGATTGACGAGCGGGATTATGCGTGCGATGCGCATCTTCAGAACGAGAGGACCTCTTCTCGGGCGCGACGCCCGGTCTCCGTGATTTGTTGCGAACGAAAGTGGCACAAAACCCACGGCGGTCCGCAAACATGTGATTACGATTGCCGTCGGGAAGGCGAGGGGCACTGTTTACGCGGGGCGTGTTGGTCAAACACACGGGAGACAAAGATGAGATAACGAGGTACTATCGACTGTGAGGCAATCGTGCACACGTTTAACACAGGCGCACCTTGTCCGGCGCACGCAGATGCGAAGCAAGCCGTTAATCTTATGCAGAGGGCGTGTGCGGTGGGAGTCAGGCTCGCTGAAGTACAGAGCTGTCCTCAGTTAATGCTGATGCTTCACGGGTGTAAACAGCCAGCAATTATGCAGCACCTCGACGCAGACACCGAACGCAGTTGATATATGCACTGGTGTTTGAAGGGTGATGCATATTAAGATGCTCACATTCTTCCAATTGCGATTGAATCGTTCTTTCGCGTTTGCGAGAACGGCCCAGGATGACCTGAATATTTGACAGGTAGATGCAGGATTGTAAGTCTAAAGGCGCGGGGTTGTTATTTCCGAAGTAGTTTTGTGGCAATGATACAGCTCGTGCCATGCCTTGTGGTCCATGAGTTATTGTCCAAAGCATTTCCCCACTTCATAGCACAAACGTCATTTCATTTGGCAATGCTACATTGATATTTTCATTGTTATTTCTTCGCACAGTGTCCGCTGAAGGCACGTACCGGCACTGAATCCGTATATCAACCTGGCGGATTTGGTGCTTTCTAAACCGAAATTTTTGAAGCCGCGAACCAACGCGCATTTAGCTGCACCAACCCTTGACTTCCAACAAATTCGTTTTGATTTCTGAAGACACTTCATATATAGTTTTGCCAGTCCCGATTTAGTATTTCACTTGAGACGGAAAGCCATAAAGCTCTTTTCCAGTTTGGAACCAAGGCTTGCACATATTTCTGGCTTTAAGGCACGTCAACTTCAACAATAATGGTTATTTACGCCATATTTAAGGGCGCGTGATTATATGTGGAATCCATTAGCCATATCACAGCCATTCCACAAATACCGAAGCCATTCCAGATTCCACCCAGAATCCAGCACGGGGTCTGTTCGTGTGTTTATTTTGTTTATGACGGCCTGCTCCTGCCAGCGCTCTGTCCGCTCTAACCACTGGCCGCCTTATCTCTGTAAGGCGACTGCACCGGACGTATGGCTGCGTGTTTCCACATTCCGGTCCGTTCGGAGGATGCCGGGCCGGCGTGCAGCTCGCCAGGCCTGTCCGTCGCCGGCTCGTCCGCCGAGCTGCGTCCAGACGGAGCGTCTGCTCCGGCCGCGACGTCGCGAGACATCTGTGCCAGTCGTGTTGTGATAAAAAGTGCCGACGCCGTGACTCACTGGGCGCAGATCTCCGCGTGGGGGGGGGGGGGGGCAGTGTATTGACCTCGAGGAGGGCGGAAGCGCCAAACACAGCTCAGCGTGGTGGGGGTGATGATGGGGGGGGGGGGGCGACTGCAGATCCGGCCGGTCTGCATGTGGACCCCTTCACCTTCCCCCTGGTGACACAGTCATGCCGGCTAGCGGCTGAGTTACGCGGCTTGTTTCTGACCGGCAGCGTTCCGTGCAAGCGTCTGGGGAACGGGAAGGAGGTCGGGCACTTAAGTCCGCTTGGTATCCGCGTCCAAATTAACGGTCTATCGATGTTAACACGAGGGGGGAGACACTCAACGTGCGGTCGTAGGGTGTCTGTCTTTGACTCCTTTAGCTACGCCCCTGCCGGCGGTCCTCCCTTCATGCCGCCTGGTTACGCCGCTGCCGGCGGTCCTCCCTTCATGCCGCCTGGTTACGCCGCTGCCGGCGGCTCCGGTAAATCACGGTGGTAATAAGTGTGCGGCGTCATGTCCCCCGGGGGTCATAACCGTCCCGGCCCGGTTCCGGCGTGACCGCTAACGACCCGCAGTGCGCAGCGCAGGCCCGCGTCGCCTGCTGGCCCGAGCACCGTCACCTGTTGCTGCCGCCTGGCGGAAAACGCCCGCCACCAAAGCTGCTACGCCCTGCTTAAGCCCCGCTCAAGACCGCTTTGGGGGACGGCCGCACTCGTGGTCGGACCTGGCAGCGGAGTCAGTGTTGGCTTGTAGTGCGGTATATCCTGTTTTGGTACCAGGCTGTGTAATGTTTCCCCACTATACCGACCCGAGGCCGACCGATTGAAAAAGCGTTTCTCTTCAATCAACGGATTACCAGCTCAGAATTTGGGATGCAAAATTGTTTTGAAGGGCATCGCGATCCTTCGTTTTCCATCAACAATAAATATATCACCTCCAACAGCGTGACACATCCTTTCCCATCCTCCGACTTCTCCGGTCTCAAGCACGGCCCCGCGACCGCCGGGGTGCGCCGAACACCCCGCCGGAGATTGGACGCGTCCTGCGAGATGACCCGCTGTAACTGGGACGTTAATGGCCCGAAGCGCTGACACGGGCAGGGTGCGGCGCGAGCCGGCCCGGCAGACGGCCGGATCTGTATGCGGCTCGGGCGGCCGGCGCCGTCGAGAGGCGCCGCCTCACGTCGTGCGAATCGGCCCGACCGAGGCGCGCCGGTCCGGAGGCGCCGGCGCCTCACAATGCGGCTGATTGTGAGCGGAAGTGGACCTGGCTGCTCTCGCAAGGGCGTCGGTTTCGCCCGGCGCCGCGGACCTGCCGGCCTGGGGCTGAGGCGGCGGCGGCGGCGGCGACTGGCGTCCTCGCTGCGAGCGGGGAGGGGGGACGTGAAGCTTCCAGTGACGTCACCCTGCCAGCTCGCTGGTACGGCGGCCACCAATCGAGGAGGGTGTCAGAGCCAGAGGTGTCAGACGTCACAGTCGATTGGTTGGGGAGGTTCCGGGAACCAGCTGACGTTTCTCTATTTCATTCTAAATTGACTGCAACAGCTCCGATCTGTGTCCGTGTCCGAGAAGGTGGTCTTCAGTATCGTGTTAGCTCGCCGTAGCACTGCTCTACTGTCCCACATTGACAGCGTTCCGCCATGTCACTGTTTCACAGATGAGGCGCCGATTGTACTCCAAATGTTGGGAATTTCAAAAATTGTCAAAGCCCAATTTTAAAATTGGATAGACAGAGACCTTGAAATTTTTGGCAGCCGATATAATTTTGTCGTGCCGCAAATCGATATGCATTTCAACTGACTTCATGCTGCTCGTCTTTATTGTTTCATTCTGGAACACAAATAAGTTGATGATG